ATGCCGTGCGGACGCCCGGCAGCGACCGCGTAGTCATGCATGTGGCCGGCCAATTTGACCCGCCCCACCGATTTACGGGCCGCCACATGCTCCGGTCGCCCATCCCTTTCGAGCATACTGCAGGGGCGAGCAGCAACCACCGGCCTTCATGCCTCGGTCTCGCTCGCTGCCCCAGGGCCCAGGCCATCCCGCAACGACCACGATGAAGTGCACACCTTCTCAAACCACCACAGTACAATTCTGCTGCTTATTCCTTCCGATCCTTTCCAGTTCTACTGCCACTGCCAGTGCCAGTCTACCTTCTTCTCCCGATCCAACGAATCCCAACTAATATCCCTGCAAACAAAGGGAGTAGTAGATAGGTACACTGGAGCCTCGAGGTCGCACTCGCATCATAAGAGAGGGCGGTTGCGAGGGCCAGCCGCACCACACACCTTTCTCGATCGTAGCCTCGTAGGCTCGTAGCGTAGTGTGTGTTAGCCTAGCTGTGCTAGCTAGGTAGCCAGCCCGCCGCCCGGCCGGTGATGGGAGGAAGATCAGTGCTCGCGCTGGCGATCATCGCCGCCATCGCTGCGGCGGTCGAGGGGGAGGTGGAGAAGTGCGGTGGGTGCTCGCCGTGCGGCGGCGCCGACTGCCCGGTGCTGTACCCGTCGCCGCCGCCGCCCGCGCTGCCTCCCCCGCCGCCGTACTACTACTACAGCCCTCCGCCGCCCGCGACCTACCCCGGCGGGGGTTGCCCGCCGCCGCCGGGCGCGTACATCCAGATCGGGAGCACGCCGCCGGGCAAGGGCCCGCTGTACCCGCAGGACCCGGGGTTCATGCCCAACAGCGCGCCGGGCCGCGCCGCGCCGCCGCTCACGGTCGCTGCTGTGCTCGCGGCGTTCGCGTGCGCATGGTGGGCCTTCTTGTGATCTGCGTCGTCACAACTGGACGGCGAGATTCTTCGGTAAGTAGCGGGACGGAGGGGGTCCACATCGTGCCGGCGTTCCACGGGTTCCCCACTTCCCCAGTGTATTTATGCATGCTCCTTGTGATAATAATTTTCTTTGGCCATCATATGGGCTGCAGACTGCAGTAGTTCTTGGAATGTATGAAGGTTTTCTTTGCTTTAGTTTTCCGTTTTTAATCTGTTGATTTTAGAACAATCACTTGTAAGAAATGCAACGCAGATTTAAGAAGAATGTGTAACCAACAGGTCATTCCAGATTTCGTACGTTTTCTCAGAGTCAACTTATGGTATCTTCAATCGGTGTGATCTATTCGTTCTCTTATCTAGCGACCAACTTGCCGGAGTTGCCGCTGTTCATGGGGCCGGGATCAGGGCGATCGAGCCGGTGACCATGCGTGTCATGGTCAGTTTTCAAATGTTTTTAATTCATCAGGATTCGTCTGCATGGTCAGGATTGTGCATAGTAAACAGATCAGTCATCCCAAGGATTGCGACCAATTCACAACAATCATATATGGCCATCTGAGCTAGTGAGCTGCTACAGCTAGCAGTAGCTTTGATTCTGTGAATGCAAATGCGTATGCCGTGCCATGATCCGGTTAGTTGCATCCTCTTCGTTTTTTCCCTCCAAATATGGTTTTTTTTCCAAAAAAAAAGGACATCTCACGTACATGGAAGATGCATCTAATAAACATACAAACTCATATATCCTGTTCCTATGAGTTAAGATAGACAAGTCACCAGTTCACCACACAGCAGGGTATCTCCGTGCCGATCGTCACATCGTCTGCCAGTGGAATAGTGATGTTTCTTCATGCGTAATCTCTCGTACTTAAAAAGCACCTAAGGTTCTTGTTCTCATTAAGGCTGCGTTCGTTTGGCAGGGAACGGTGTCCACGAACCATTCCTACCAGGAATGCTAGTGTAATTTATATAGCCAATCCTCACCAAGAACTATTCCTGACCAGAAATGACCATAAACGAACGAGCCCTAAGGATTTTTTTAAGTAAATAATATTTTATTATTAGCCCCGCTCGACGTCACATTACGTAGGTCACTTGGGCAACACAGCATTGCTGGTCATCTCCTCCTGCGCCGGCCCCTATACCAGCTTTGCAGACACCACTAACGCAAGGTTCCACCAAACCGTTGCCCCCAAATGCTATGTAGAAGTCTTGCCCTCCAATCGCTGCGCCAACACTTTTTACCTGACAGCCTTCGGCAACCATGAACACCCGCACTTGGACTCCTCAGCGTGGCCTCCACCCTCCTTGAATCAAATCGAGCCTCCATCCAGAGAGACCGCCATCATCTATCAGATGTGGTATGAGCCCTTGGATTTGGTCCTCTCCTTGGCTCTAGCAATGAATATGGCCAATATATCCACCGCCAAATTAAAGAGAATTGGTGAAAGGAGATCACTTTTGCCTTAGGCCTTTTGTTGTTTGAAAATACCAACCCACATCATTGTTGACCTTCACTGTAAAACTCTGATGGAAAAATATATCAGGTTTTATACGGGAATAAAAAATAGACTTTGAAAGTTTTTTAGATTATACAGTACAACGCAGACGCTCACAACGCACACACACTTACCCCTTTGAACACACACGCAAAACCCTACCTCTATGAGCACCTTCGAAGACTGGACCGACAAATCCTCAACATGAGATTGACGAAGTCACCATAGACGCCTTGTTTTTGACCGAAACGTCACTTACTATTGAAAGCACATAGCCGTTAAATCCTAATAAATTCGCTCCTACGAGGAGTCGAATCAAACTCAGGATCTTAGGCGCTACCGAGGCCCCTGTAACCAGCAGATGAAATTGAAAGGTCTGACGACTTATATAATCTTTTGAGGTACATATCATGGCAACGTGAGGGCCACGTCGACCCATGGCCACGGGTCCTGAAAACGTAACCGAGCTGTGATGTCGCAAGCCTCCGAGCAAGTGTTGCATACCCACCTCCGGTGGCATGACCAATGTTAAAAATCCAGTCATACGTACTCTCTCTGTCCCTTTTTAAATATCACTATGATAAAACTTTTTTAAGTTTAAGGTTTATAAAATTATTAGCAATATTCGTATCTCCAAATAATATTATTATACATTTAGCCAAAATTAAGTACATTTGACTTTTTGATAGCGAGATCGATAGTTAAAAAGAGACGGATAGGCCTAAGTCAGGTTACGTTTTTTTTTTCATACCCAAAACAAGTTAGAAATTGCAGCTCTGATGTGCAAGTGAAGGGGACGAGACCTTGTGCCTTCCTAGTATCGAAGCATCTTTGCCAGAGCTTCTTTTTTTTTGACGAAAGAAGAATTATATTAGATAATAGTTGGGTACAACAACATGTTATTTGTCGGAGCTCCTTGTTAGAGAAAAGTTGGTCGAATTGGAAATATTTGGAGCTTTTCATTGTCTAAATGCATCACTCATCAGCAGAGTGTGGTGTTACTAGTTAGTTCTACAGTTTGTCAATTTCAATACTCATCAGCTCACCCACGACCACCTGCAGCCACCACTGTGAACAATGTGACTACATGGCTGGAACAATTATATTCCATCTCCATTCTGAATTATAAGACATTTTGATTTTTCTAGTTTATTTAATGACATTTTGACCTGATGTCATGCCATAACGTAATAGAATGACACATTTCTTGTTGCTAATGGAGGAGGTATACCTACATAATAAATTTGGATAATTAAAAATAATATATTAGTGGATTTGTCTTGAAGTATAGTTTTATGTTTGTATTAGTAAATTTACTTGTAGTTGTATAAAAGACATATAATTACCTATGGTTTTATAAATGTTTTGTAACAGAAAGTTTGGTCAATATTATTAGCAGTGATCAGAACTGCTTGCAGCTGCAACAGCACCTCTCAGTGGTCATTCTTCAAACTAAGCAGTCACAACTATGGGGTACTAGAGACTGATTTGCCACTGTCATAAGAAATCTGTAACATCAGTATCTCACACTAGGTCTACAACTCAACGCCCGCCCACCGCAACCTGCGCCGCCACCACACTGTCAAAGCCTTATTAACGATGGATCAATTATCTTACTAGCTAGTACCTGATTTTCCAAGACGAAGCGACCCTTTTTTTTTGTTTATGATGAAACCTGTTCATTTCTCTCATGCTTAATTCTTCCTGCCGTGCCATGTTGCTTATATTACTATTATTACTGCTAATGTCAACGATGTGCCTGCTAGATAACGAACAAGGAACAACTGATGAGCTTTTCTCACAATAAACCTGAAAGTGATAACGACCGATTAACCGCATGTTGATAAGGGCCACAGGAATGGATTGTTCTGACTGAATCTCCAACACCTAGGAAGCCTAGTCATACAAAGAAAGTCCTCGCAAACCACATTATCATGACTCATCAGTCATCACTTTAATTTGAACGAGTTAATTACTCCACGGTTCGTCACCATGCATCTCACCTCGCCATGTAGCCGGCATCTCTACCATTATACTACACAGACCTAAAATTTGCAAGACTCGTTCGTTCGCGGCCGTAACTCGCAGCTGAACGATCGTCCTTTCAAACTGACGTTGCATCTCGGTTCTGAGTTCTCTGTAACTTGACACAAGCCAGCACTGCACCTGCCAGCCTCTGCACCTACTGACCAACGCCACGCACGCGATCACGCAGCTTCTGAACATGTCTCCATTTCGAATTACTGTTACTCGGGCGCACGTGCCACGTGACGGCAGCAGCTCTCGACGATATGAAGGGAGCCAGCATGATCGATCGCGATCATTCATTCACAACAGCAGTTCAATTCTCTCTTCTCCGCCGGACGAAGGCGACGACCTGCAGGTCAGCAAGCGAGAGAACAATGGAAGCCGAGGCGTTCCCGATTCGGTTCACGAAGGGTATCAGGTCGTACTGGCGCCGCCGCGACTACTAGCACGTGGACGGCAGCGGCGCGGCCGCGGCGGGCCGCGGCAGGCGGCGGCACGGGCTGGTGCGCCTCGGGGATGGCAGCGGCGGGCCCAGGTCGTGGGCCGTGAGGATCGGCGGCATGTTCCGGGCGCGCCGCGTCAGGGCGCCGGCGCCGGCTCCGTTGTCCCGGGCGGCGGCGACCGTGGCCAAGGCGCCCATGCGCGTGCTCGGGCGGATACGGGACGCCTACGTCGACGTGATGCTGGGCGCGGCCAAGACGCGGCCGGCCGTGGCGCGGGCGCTGCCCAACGCGCCCGAGGCGCTGTGGCAGAAGCGGGTGCCCGTACGCCGGTCCAGCAGCCAGGCCCGGCAGCAGCAGCAGCCCGAGGAGCTCGGCCAGAGGCTCGTCATGGAGATGTACAAGTCCGTGATCGCGTCCAGGAACCTCTCGGGCATGCTCCGCGCGTCGGTGGCGCGATAGCGCAACCAGATGTGCTGCTGCGTGGCATGTCACGAACGACCAGCAACACACATGTCTTTCAGTATTTCACATTTCTTTGCTTCTGGTTAACCCTCTGTACATTATACGCTTGCTTTACGTACGTGCACAACCATATATAAAAGCATGGGGTGGTTCTGATAAACTTCTCCAATCCCAGTAATTTGTAGTGACCAATGTAATGATCATAACCGCTTCAACTGCTGTTTTTTTATAATAAAAAAAAACCGGACTTGTTAGCGCCCGGACGTCCGATCCACACGCAGCGTCCGGACGCTACCCGCACAGGGAGTGAACGAGCGCCTAGCGCGTCGGGCTCGCGAGGGAGCGCCCTGGACGTCGGCCGCGCCGCCGGCCGCTTCGCACGCGCATCCCATGTGCAACACCCGATCTACTTTTGAAACATCCAGATACAATAGTTGCAACATACAAAAGAAGACAGATGAAACACTTGAAACAAGCGTCTGAAAACACTTGTGAAAATGCCTGAAAAATATTTGAAAATCATTGCAAACATATGCAACATTCAGATGAAACACTTACAAACATACGAATGAAAATACTTGAAATATATGCTTGCAACATGCATATATATATGCAACATCTAGATCTACTTTTGCAACATCCAGACAAAACACTTACAACATTTGTCTAGAACAGATTAAATATTTGGAATATACACTTGAAACATACGTGTATAACCATTATAACATATGCAACATCCCAATCTACTTTCGCAACATTGATATACAACACTTGCAACATACCTCAGTAACATCCGAAATACTTGAAACATACTATTGCAACATGCGCTTTCAGCATAGCATCTTGTTGCTGCTTGGACGAATGGAGGCTCGTCGACGCGGAGCTCAATGCCGGCACGGAGCTCGAAGCCACGGGGTGGCGCGGAGGTCGCCGGTGTGGAGCTCGGCGGCGGCACGGACCTCGGCAGGGGCAAGGGCAGGCGGATGGAGCACGACCACGATAGGAGGCGCGAGTCCGGAAGCGAGCTAGCGAGCGCCTAGCGCGTCGGGGGCGGTGCGGGCGAGGACTGGGTCCCTCCCACGAGCAGAGCGAGGGCGACGTAGGCGGGGCGGCATGGGCGAGTGCGGGGTCCGTTCGGACGGACGGACGTCCTATAAATAGCGTTTCTGTGGTTCTTTAAAATGTTTAAAATATAAGGGAGAATTATACTAAAACTTGGCATAATATATCCTTAAATTTTCTTTTGAGAAAGAGGGCCCTAGTCAGCAGCGGTGACTTGGAGCCCTAGCTGAGCGGCGGCAGACTAATTTGCCAAAAAAAATATTAGATCATCACAGAGCTTTTTTGCTAGGGAAAAAATTATGAAGGAATAGTTATTTTACATGTAACAATCCATGTGCCACGTACTAAAAGCAAACTGAAGTAACTTTTATGATACATTTTTAAATTATGATAAAGTGAAATGGAAAATTCTTGCAACGGACATTAAGAATGAAAGGCTTCCTCCCAAAACGTTTTGCACAATACATCCCTATTTCTGAGGATATTCCCTAGCTGTCGTGGGTCATAATGGTAAAGTGACATCTCACGTATAATGACTTATAAAAGGTGAAGTGGACCCCTATGTAAAAGTGTGTGGTTGAATGCTATTTATACCTGGCCTACCTGTGTTCTTGCCTTTGCAACCCCAGGAGGAGCCCCCATCTTACTCTCTCTGCTGGGACCCATTTTTCCAACAAAAATAGTCGACGTCGTAGTACCATTCAAACATTGTTTTAGACCTTCTCGCTTCCTAACGCACCTTTCTCTTTTGCACAATACATCTTTCTCTTTTCCTAATACATCTCTATCTTTAACTCTCTCTTCTTTTCGTAAAAATATTTTGGTCTTTTAGCTACAACATTGATACTCGTGCGCAATCCTAAAACGTCAACTAGAGTTAGGACAGGGAAGGCGCGGCTGTATTCCATGGGAATTCGGAGTCCAGGCGGTTATAGGTTTTCGTTCTTGTGTGTCGTTCCCCTCCGCTCCCCCGTTGCTTGTAACTACACAACTGTTATGACATGGGCTTCCATTCTCTCACCTAGACACACACGGTCCAAGCCCACTAATACACCACTAGGCCCATGGCCATAGCATGCATCCACGTGTGCTGCCTGTGTATCTCGCTCGTAGTCTGTCTGGGCTTGTACAGGCTACCAATCAGGCCCATATTGTATTATGTTTCATGCCTGTTGCATCGCATGCATCAAATAAATAGTGCAGCCCGGTAAACAAATACACCCTAAAAATATATTACATCTTGTTTAAAAAAAGATTATACATGAACAGAAGACACAATTTAAGCACCTGAGAACCCACAGCTGACGGACGATGGAGCTATCTTGTGTATGGATATTCACATTGCCTGAAAACTAATTCTACCATCAGGTTTACTTTATGCTCTTATGTATGTTACTCGTATACATGTATCTTATTTAGTATTTACGTTGTTGTTCGTATTTTTATACATTTTCGTGTGAATTACATACTTGAGTTGCTGCCTTCAGATGAAACAAAAACCAACGGTTCCAGCTTGGCGAAAGGCTGGCCTTGGCCGCGCCCTGCCGCGCGCGTGTCGGCCTTTGCTAAGGGCGGGGCAGGTGGAGGCGTTCGGCGGCGGTGAGCGTGTGGCGGAAGTGGCAGCGGTGGCCGTAGGAGCAGACCTCGCCGGCGAGCACCATGCGGCAGACCTGGGTCTTGTAGCGCGGGTGGCGGATGACGGGGCGGAGCTCGGCGACGCCGTGAGCGAACTGGCACTGGTCGCCGTAGGGGCACGCCCCCGTCTCCTCCCACTTGTTGCACAGCTCCGTCTTGAACATGCCTTGGTTGTACACATCCAGCTCCATGCCGCCCGCCGCCGTCGTGTGTGGCGGCTCCTTGGGTTCCTCGCCTTTCTTGTCGCCGTCATTGCCCTTGTACACGCGCTGCTGATCCGTGCATCGCATCAAGGGTGCATGCAGCAACGTCAGATGCCAATTAACAAGCGGGGGCGTGATGAGGTTGGCGAGGCGTGAACTGGGGCTCACCGAGCTTGGGTTGGTGGTCGGGTTCGACGCGCGATGCTTGCGGTTGTTTGCGGCCGGCGTGGCGGGGGCCTGCACCTTTTTGGGCTTGTTCATCTTGAGGTAGTCGGTGGAGCGGACGGAAATGCTCTTGGGCAGCACGGCGGGCTTCTCGGGAGCGCATTCCTTGGCGGCATGCTTGTGGTCCCCGAAGCCGAGCCGGCGGACCTCATCGGCGATGGCGGCGGCGGCGGCCTGCTTGCCAATGCCACTGAGGAGCGCGAGGCGGCGCGTGAGGTCGGCGTTGGCGACGCGGAGCTCGGCGTTCTCGCGGTGGAGGGCCGCAGCCTCGTCCGCGGCGTCGGCGAGGCGGGCGAGGCAGAGCTCGTAGCGGTCGGCCACCTCCTGGTACTGCAGCGCGAGGCGGGCGAGCTGGAGCCGGTGGCCCGTGGCGGCGGCGGCGGCGTCCGCGGCCGCGGCGGTGTCGCAGTCGTCGACGAACGAGGCGGAGGAGGACGGCGAGAGCGAGACGGAGACGGAGGAGGTGGCGAGCGGCGACGGCGAGGAGAAGCCGAAGCTGGGGCTGAACGGCGACGAGCAGCGGAACAGCGCGTCGTCGCCGCCGCCGACGGAGGCGAGGTTATTGAGGTAGCGCGGCGCGGCGAGGCGCTGGTCCCCGAAGGCGAACGGCTTGAGCTCCAAGGCCGAGTGAAATTGGCCGGCATTGCCCGGGGAGATGAGAGCTTCCTGCATGGTCGATCGAGGCTTCTTCCAAGGCAGACAAGTAGCCTCTGCATATTGAAGAAACAGATTGAATTGAAATGGTGTTCTTGCACAAAGGCATTCGGTTCACTGAATTTACGACAGAAAACGACTAGAACACGTTAGAAAAGACCAGAGGCGAAAAAAATTCAACAAGCTGCCAAATGCACGATCCGAGTTTTGACTGGCTCCCCCGTACTAACGTCTAACCACCAGTGACCTTGGATGAACTCGAAACAACCAGACGACGGTACCAAAAATGACCCCCAAAACAAAAAAGTGTCAAGAAACAGTACTTGCTTGGTTGCATCCGATCCGATGCAATCGCAAGTAAAGCCAGCCAAATCGAAGACCCGACTAAAATTGCAATCGGGGCGACAGAAAGAGTTGCAATCGGTGTTCCATTAGTACCAAAATGCAACGAAGAAGCCATTAAAATTGAGCTGCTGGACCACGAGCAATCAATCGTACCTCGTGGACGAAGAAGCGATGGAAGCAGAGGAGGGTATGTTGGAGAGGACGACCGAGGACTGTGGAGGGAGGCGGGTGCTGGGAAGGAACGCGTGGCGTCGTGCCTATATAGCTGGGGAGCATGCCAGGAGCCGGGGAGACCGTGGGGCCCGCGCGTCGGCGAGACCGAGACGGCAGGGGGGCAATGAGCCGCACGGTCGTACAGGAGCACGCACGGTCGGGGGTCGGAACGTCGGGTTCGTTCTCCCTCCTCCCAGTCGGTGGTTGGCAAGATGGCTCTGCTTCTGGTTGGGTCTGAAACTTTTGGACCTCTGCGACCTTTGCTTGTTTTACCCCGTCAATGGAGCAGTTAGCGGTACCAGTTTGGTGCCGCTGCCGCACGACGACTGCCCAAGCTGTGTAATGATGCTTGCAAATCACGGTTCGAGCGTTCCGCACAATGTACAGACTGGACTGGAGCATGTCTGTGCCAGACTGCCGGTGCTGCGATTGTGCTAATCATCAGGATTGTGGTATTGTCTTGTCTCGTCTTGTGGGAATCGATGGCTGAGACTGTACAAACAACATGCTAATGAGATATTTACCGTTCCGACTTCCCAAGGCCCGATGGCTGAGGACTCTAAAGCGATCATGTGTTATTTTCACAGATGACCACCCGTTCACCTTATCGATCGATCCGGCTGGGGAAATGGCAGTCGTGCCAGCACGGGAGGGTGCTAACGTTAGGCCATGTTTAGTTCCCACTAAATTGTCTAAAAAATGGGAATCGATGGCTGAGACTGTCGTAACAACATGCTAATGAGATATTTACCATTCCAACTGTCCGAAAGGCCCTAATGGCTGAGGACTCTAAAGGGATCATGAATGTTCTTTTCACAGATGACCATGTTTGTTCATAATTATCGATCGATCCGGTTGGGGAATAATTATTCGTGCCAGCACGGGAGAGAACTAAACGTTAATTTCTTCGACCACACTTCATCGAGCGAGCCGATGCGGACATTTCGGGCCCGTGCCTTGGGCTTTATGTCAGGTGAGGTCACGTCGGGGAGGTTGCTTTCCCGCTCCTACTCCTCCTACAGTCCCGAAACGATCTCTCTCCCCTCAGCACAATCTAGGAAGTGACCATTTTCTGTATGCATCCAAGAAACCCGTGCATAATCAATCCACAGTCCAGAACGTAGTAGGAATATTGTACTGCACTAGTGCGTAGCCAGTAGTACCACCGTTGTCCTCTGTTCTTGTACCGCCTGCTTTCAAGTTGGTAGCTACGTCGGGTCATTGCCAACCTTCGACTGAGGGAATCTAATATGTTCAAAAGCTACAGCTTCAGACATAGTTTGATACGCATGTAATCTCAATCTAATCTAAACAATTGAGAAAAAATGTTCAAAAGACTCCATCTATTTTAACCTACTTTAATACATGTTGATTGAAGTGGATACACACGCATATCAAATAAGGCCTTAGAATTTTTTCCCCAGAGGGCAGTTAATTGAAAACTTGTTTCATGTTTGCATACTCTACTATTTTGGCCACGCCGGAATCTAATATCTGTGCGAAGTATTTAGAACGAACGAAACACAACGTACCTAGTGCTGTGGCCCAGCTAAAGGCCCTGTTTGGATGCAGAGTATTTTTAAAGTATTGAAGAAATACTATGGTTTTATAAAATATTTTGGTTTTTAAAGCTGTTGGATGTTTGGATGTAACAAATCTTGTAGTCTTTAAAACGATGATTTTGTTAAAACTGTAGTCTTTTTCGAGTTTTAGAAACTCCACTCATGACATTTTTTTTCTAAACCACAGTTTTGTGCCTCTTTGGCTTACAAAATCACAGTTTTGTGATACTACAGTTTTTTAAAACTGCATCATCCAAACAGGCCCTAAGTCGTCCAACTTTTTTTTTCTCCTTTTTCTGTGTAGATTTGCATATACTATATGTGCTAACTGTCTTTTAGGAGGAGAAGAAGAAAAACATTTGGTGATAGGCTCGTGGCCATTCTGGCCAACCTAATTCGAGGTATGCTTTTTTTATATATATAAAAGACAAAAGAGAAAAAGCTTGTAGGTGGGCTTAGCTATGGAACTGTTTTGGCTTCACGTATCCGAGCAGAGCACTGTACCAAACATGCCCTAGGCCCGGCGCAGTCACGTTCACGTCACCAGAAACAAACAATAGGCGATTTAATTAAACTCCACATCAAGCATCCATTAGTCGTTGCTTAACAATAAATCAATCTGGGTTCTGGAGGGAGCACGGCTAACGAATCGTGGCGGGTCCGGTCCATATATCCTACACGCACGACAAGCATAGGAGTATCCTATCTCAATCGATCGGGTACACGCACGACATAGGAGCATCTCTATCGGGTACGCACAAATTGCTCCTACATGGCATGCATCCTCGCGCGGTCAGTGACGTGTGAGTGACAGTGAAGGCTCATCTCTCCGTTCGCAACAACGCAAGGCAGCGGGCTTGCTCCGATGGATCGAGCTTGCTTTGCTTTCACGGGTGAGTCCCTCTCGGCGCTCGCTAACCACCTCGATCGCGGCAGCCGCAGCCGCCTTAGGAAAATCAGAGTAACAAACTCGCGGCCAGCGGTCACACCACACCGCGCATCTCCTCTCCTCCCCCTGCTGCAATCATGTTGCTTCCTGCTTACAGCTTTAACTAACTACTACGAGTTCGCCTACCGCGGAGCCGGAGCGCGCGGCGGCACGTCCCACTCCATCGTTTCCTTTCCTCGTCTGGGCCGGAGACGGAGGCAGCCGCGAGTCCGCGAGCGAAAGACAGACAAAAAAAAAACAAGGGAAAGCTCTCTTGTGTGCGCGAGAGCCTTCCCCTGCCCGGAGTGACGGCCAAACGAATGGATGGACTTTTTTTTAGGTGAGGGCGCGATTACGTACCCTGGTGTGGATCTGCTGCGGTCGCCGGTTGCCATCCGTTTTTTTTTTATAAAGCCGGTTGCCATCCGGTTTGTTATGCACTGTGCGTGTCTGGTGGTGCCGACGGATCGTGCGAATGAAGGCATGCACAACTGATCGATCCACCGAGCTGCTGCTGGGGACGGAGACGGACTGATGTGCCACTTGGACCAGAAATGGATGTTTATATGTTAACTTTGGATGGTTGCCGTGGCTATCCTATGGTATTGTATGTCGGGCCAGCGCGCGGACATGGGATGAAGGATGAGAAACTGTTGAACATCTCAGTAGGAACAGAAACTGTTGACATACTCATCGATCACACAACACCATGGGAAGACATTCATTCATATTAACCGACGATGAGAGATAGAACGCAATTACAGGAGCTTCGTAGATGAACTGCCTATTTGAGTTCATTTTTGGCAAAAACGAAAAAAGGCACCCCTCTAACAACTTGGTAAGACAATTCTTCGAAAACAAGAAATTGGCACCTCCAACTTGTGACTTTCAATGCCGGATAGGAAGCCGCATATCTCCCCCTAACATTTTTTTTAACTTCGACCACGGTTTTCTCAATTTTGGCACGAGTCCGTAGAGTTCCCAAACACTACCGCTCCTTCCCGACCTCTATCATCGCCGCCCATTGAAGGTATGAAGCCCTAGCCAACTCTAGCCACTACTAGGCCTTGCACCGCCACACCTGCTTTGCTTGTCCGCTGCTTGGCGACCATTCACTACCGGAAACAGAGAATTTGCCGTGTGTCATAGGCACTCGGCAAAGACCAAAAAACACTCGGCAAAGGCTTTACCGAGTGTAACACTCGGCAAACAGGACACGGCATCTACAGAGTCGGCAAACAGCTATTTGCCGAGTGTTTTTTATCGCGCACTCGGCAAATGGTTTGCCGAGTGTTTTTCCAAAATACATTCGGCGAAGGATTATTGTTTGCCGAGTGTTTTTGGAATTACACTCGACAAACCTATTTTCCAAAGAAAAAAATTTTTTTCTTAGCATACTTTTACTGTTTGCCGAGTGTTTTTTGAAATTACACTCGGCAAACCTATTTTCCAAAGAAAAAAAATATTTGTAGGTCTTGATTGGAATTCTAGCAGCTCTGATTCTGTAAGATAAGGATACTTCCTGCTCACATAATGGACATAAATAACAAAAAAAAACAATCATCCCTACAATCTTATTCAGATCCATTGTTTAGCGTCACGGCAGTCCCTCTTCCTCCCATGCATCCATCTCAAGCATATTTGCAGGTGCCAAGACCTGCAAGAATCAAGAACACCAGCCATGTCAGCCCGCCAACACAGTTGACAAGCAATGAGACACTCACAATCACAGCAAGGCAGGCTACTCACCGGGGTCGATGATGGTCATGAGGCGGTGCCGTTGAAGAAGCAGTTCCACGAGTTTCCGCCGGGCACTGGTAGTAGGCGTTCATGGCCACCGACGCGCCTTGCATGATAGGAGGCCTTCGTCTGGCGGGTGCAGCCGCCAAGATGCTCTGGATGGCGCCACAGTCATTCTCGGAGCAAAGCGAACTCAGGTTAAGAAAGTTGATAGCTACAGCTATTGTTGT